TAAAACTCAGTTTTATGGTTCTGAGGCCGGCTGGTAGTCAGGTTTCCTAAACTCTTTGGTAGCTCTAAGAGAGGCTGACTCCATCAACAACTGTAAAATATCAAAATACTAACAGTGCCATGTTGCGCATGGATGGTGTCCCTGTTTGTACTTTTGGTGTTCATTGCCAAGGCCACATCGGAGCCTTTTGTTACGGCTTAGGGCTTATTATTAGTATTGAGGCAATTGCTTGGGCTATTAAACAGTGTACTGAGTACTATTTATGTTTCGAGTCAAGTTCTTTAATAAATTTAAAAATGAATAAAGTAACAAAAACTATAAAACACAAAAAACCACAGTCATCACCAAGTTCGCTAAACCATTCACTAATATTCGTGGTTTTTGAAGTAACTTTTTTTTGGTTGAGTCTTATCTCTTGCAAAGTTCACCAGACCTACTTGCTCTTTGTGAGACTAATTTGAGTTCAGCTGTCTCATCTTGTAATCTTAGTGTTGATGATTATCTTTCTTTAATTTGTAAAGACTCCAATAGTCACATGCTTGGCCTGGGTATTTACATTCGTAAGAATTCACCCATTTGTCAGGAAACTAAGTTTGAATCCACAGACTACTCTTTTATGTGCTTTCGTTTAGCACCACTTCACTCTATCACCTTTCTCTTTGTTCTATATATCGCTCTCCTTCATCTCAAGGTTGCACTCTTGATGTTATTTCTGATCATATTGACCAAGCCCTCTCTCTTCATCCATCAACCAATATTGTTGTTGTCGGTGACTTTAATGTTCATCACACTGAATGGCTTTGCTCTAGTGTCAGCGACTCTGCAGGCATTAAAGTCCACATTTTTTGCCTTTCTCAATCCCTAACTCAAATAGTCAACTTTCCAACTAGCTTTCCAGACAACCCGAATCATTTACCTTCTCTACTCGACTTGTATCTTGTTTCTGATCCTAGTCAGTGCTCAATTTTTCTACATTCACCCTTAGGTGCCTCTGATCACAGTTTGATCTCCTTAAACTATTATCTCATTCTTTTTTAACATCAGACTCCTCCTATTATTGCACATCTTACAACTACCTTAAAGCTGACTGGGACTCTTTCCGTGATTTTCTTTGTGCCCTTGGGAAGAAATCTTTCGTTTTCCTGTTGACAAATGTGCTTCTTACATAACTTCGTGGATACAGGCTGGCATGGAATCCTTTATTCCCTTTCGACAATTTCAGGTCAAGCCTTACCTGTCTCTATGGTTTTCCTCATATTGTGCTGCTGCAATTGCCAATCAAAACCATTACTTCCATATCTATCAGCAAAACACTTCTCCAGAAAACAGACATCTGTTTATTACTGCTAGGAACCATTGTAAAAAGGTTTTATCTAACGCCAAAGCCCGCTATTCACAGATCATGAAACCTCATTAAGTCAGCATTGCCAACCCTAATTTTGAGGGTTGAACCTAACTTCGAGGGTTGGCATTGTATATTAAAATATTTTGGTACTGTTTGCAAATGCTTATAATTAGAAATACAATATCTTACATGATGTAGAATTGGAAAAAAAAACATTTCTATCATACCTCGAAATATTTTAACAATAGTAAAATTCGTTTTAACAAAGTAAAAACAAGTTTGATTATTGTTTATTAGCAATTTTTTTAATAAAAATAATATTTTTATAAGCAGTATTAAAAACTTATAATATTTTTTTAGTTCACAGCTAATTCAAATATATTCTTTCTGTAAAATATTATCAATATATTAACAAAAATGTAATATATAACTGTGCAAATTACTAATTTCCTCAGTTTAGTTCCAACTTTAATCTAGAAACATTTACATACAAAAAAAAAGAAAGTGTAATAAAAAACGCTATTTCTATAACAAATAACATTTTATTTATAGATAAATATATATTTATCTATAACAAATAACATTTTATTTATAGATAAAAATAACAGTTATCTATAACAAGTTTATTATAAATTTTATATAATAGTTATATTGATTCTATACTTAAGCAATGTAAAATTAATACTCTTGAAAAAAAACATCTACTAAATAGCAAACTTAAAGAGATAACTTATTTACTAACATCATTTATCCTATAAAAACTTTTGGTTATGTTCACAAATGCTAATACTTAAAAATAAAAACATCTTACTTGATGTAGAATTAGGATTAACACAAATATCTTCATCATAACTTAAAATATTTTCACAATCTAAAAGATATTTGTATTTTTTATTTAAAATATTAATAACAACATTTCTTTTTTAACAATTTTAACAAGTTTTAATAAGATAATATACTAGTAATCCAAAGTAACTACTTTGGATTACTAGTATATTATCCTCAATTAAATTTTTTCATCTTAATTCTAATCACTCTCATAATTCTAAATATCTCATCTTTATTTTAGAATCATGATATTAGTAGATTAAAATATTTAAACCATTTGATTTTACTTTCAAAGACTTAAAATGAATTTTCCAACACATTTTTCCTAATATGAAGCCTTTTATATATTTATATTGAAGAAATTTCAAGAATTCCTTTAATAGATTAAGAGAGTCAAACAAATTTATTAATCGTCACATAAAAAAATTTTAAAGTTCAAAAAGTAGAAATCTTGTTTGAAACAAATCTCCTTATTTTACCTGTATATAGTTCTAGTTGCAAGACATTTAACATTTCTAATTTCTTTTTAACAGAACTTTTAGAAACAAATGATAGAGAAGCTGCAAAATCTTCATTTAAATGAAATCTAATTTTTTTTTGCAATAACTTAAAAATAAACTTGAAAAGAGCTCTCACTTTCTTTTAAAGGACATGAATAGGAGTTTTTTTTTGTGAAACAAACTAAAAACCAGAAACATGCATGTATTGTGGCTGCAAAAAATTAATACTGCTTATTTAATTTACACTTTTTTATTAGTGACTAAATTGAAGACAAAAAAAAAATCTTTTTACACAGTGTATATCTTTAGCCATTGATCTTGCCTGATGAAAAATCACAGAAATACAAACAATTGCTGCATTGTTAACTTCTCTAGAAAAAGAAGTGCAAGCCTTGAAACTTTGCTTCACTGAAATGGTAGAGCAGTTTTTTCCTAAACTGAATATTAGACATTTTATAACTTTTTCAATGTACAACCTACCATTGCTCTATGATTGTGTCATGGATACTTGTAAATGTTATTTTTTGAAAAAGTTGGCAGTTGTCATCAGATCCAGCTATTACCAGTTTTAATTATCTGATTATCTCTTATTTTTCAAAGTTTTTATTTTCTATCAGATAGATCTTAGTTTTGTTCATTTGCTTCTAAAACACTCGAAAATAAATGTTTACCTTATTTGGAGAATGATGCCGACTTGCATTCAATCAAGTTTATAAAAGTTGCACAACAGTTGCCCTATTTATTTTGCTTTATTTGTTAAAAGGGTGAATGATCAGTCTCATGAATAAGAGATGGAATGCTCAAAGTGGTTTTTACAATGATGTAAAATTGATAATTAAAAATAGATTATTTAAAAGTAGATAACTATTATCTGGCTACTATTTTAAGTTATTATCTTGATAATAATTGAAAATATATTAAATAGACAGTTATTATCAGTTTTGCAACATTGAAAAGCTAATCTACACTTTTAGAAAAGTTATTCTTATAGAGCATGATAACGATTGATAAACAACTTAAAAGATTGCAAATTATATGAATCAGGAAAGCAAGATGAAGGAAGTGAATTTCGAAGAATTGATGTTTGAGGAAAAAACTAGAGGAATAAGAACTTTTGGAGCACTTAAGAACAGTCATGGTGAAAAGATGAAACTTAATTGAATAACATGTAACACAAGAATGAACTTTAGTAGATGGCACAAAAGATGCTAGCTCTTTAGAGCAGTCCCTATTATAGTATTTGTAGAAAAGAGGAAGAGAAGCAACATTAATACAATGTGATAATGGTTGGGGGTTGGCTGCAAGAACAGGTCCAACTATATTTACAATGCATTTTTGCACCTTGCTTAAAAGAGAAAAGACATCATTGGAAGATTCGCCCATGACAACAGTATTCCTTACAAAGACGGATTTGAGATTTATAGAGATAAAGAAATAAATACAGAGTAAGAAAGTGTCAAGCATGATAAAGAGATGCAACCTTGGCAGTTAATAATTTTGCATTGGATTTGATATATGGTTTCCAAGAAAGATCAGAAGTAGGAGGTAATCCTAGAAGACCATTCATAAATATTTCCCATATTTATGAATGGTCTAAATTATTATGATAACAATTCCCTGAAAAAAATTAGGTTTTATCTAAATTAAACTTCGCCAGCCACTGTAAACCTCATGTCGTAGAAAAAGTTAGATCCTTTTCAAGCTTAGATGCGCCCTCCAAGCAATCAGAGAGTGTTGGCTTCTTATCAAGACAAGAATAATCGGTAGTATCATCAGCAAACAATGCCATCTTAGATGTGAGAATATCTAGAAGATCATAATTTAAAAAGAATGTAAGGTCGAGGAAAGCTCCAGAGAACAGTCTGCAAGACAATAACAGTTATGTTGTCTGGACCACAAGCTGTCTAAGCTTTAGTCTGTAGAGTCTAGACATGAAATCACTTGAGGTACAGAAACTAGATTGAGATGAATACCAAGCAATGGATAAATCTGTTTGTTGGCTATATCAGGTAGAATGCAACTTGTGGAATCAAGAGATAATATCGATGAAAAGTTTTTAGCAAAAAATTCAGGTTTGTCTTTAGATGACATGACAAAATCTGAACTATGCAAGAGAGGTGGAAAAACAATTTGCCCTTATTATTGATACTTTTAATAAATCTCCAGAATTCATAAGAGCCTAATTTTGGTAATGAAATACAAGATTTCACAACCTGAGTATATTATGAACAACATCAACTTATAAATTTTTTTAACAATAATTTTTAAATTTATTTCTCTAATAATTATAAACTTGCATTTATTTTAAAACCAGTTAAAATGTGATATTAAATTTATGTTCTACAGTTTAATAGAAAATTTTAGTCCAGATCCTACATGTAAAATAAAACAAAATTTTATCAAAAATCATAAGTTAACCAAACATTATTATTGCTAAAAAAATATAAAAGTCCACTCAAAAGCTTACAAATGACAAATATTACTGACATCTTTTGAGTACCTTGCAAAAGATGTGATTGGTACCCCCCTGGTACTCTCTGAGCCCATGTCATCACTATTAATAGGATTTTCAAAATGATTTTTTGAATAATATTTAGTAAAAAAATATTTAAATGAAAGTTTTTAACAAAATATGTTTAAAAATGAATAAAAGTATGAATAATACAATTAATAATTATTATATAATAATTTGGCATACAATAATGAAGAGAGGTTTTGCACAGTTTAGGTTTTAAAATTTCTATTTTAAAAATATTTAACACTGACTATTGAAAAAATGTTTTAGTTGTTATATTGGAAAAATGTTACCTTGAGTTGTTATATTGGAATAAACACAAATATTTTCATCACAGCCTAAAATATCAGCACAATCTAAAAAATAATTGTAACTTTTAAAAAATGTGTAAAATAATTTTTTTTATATTTTAAAAAACTTAAAAGTATATAAATGAGTTTATATATGTTATATATTTTAAGATTAATTCATATTTATTATATCTTTTGAGATTAATTCATGTATGTTATATATTTTGAGATTAATTGACACTCTTATCAGACATCTATTGCAGTGATATGGATAGCAGAAATTCAAATTCAAGGTTTTCAATTTCAAACCCTGCTATAGATATATAAGCATTACTATTGATATTGGAAGCAGAGAACTATCTCATTAAATGCTTTTATAAAAACAGTGTTTAATGACAAGTCGATAACATCTTTTAGAGTTTCCTTTAAAAAGCTTAATAAAATATAAGTAATTTATTAGTCCAAACAAGAGAAAGCATTTCAAGCCATGCTATGTAACATAGGTAAATAAAGAATCTTTAAAACTAATTTATTTAATTTATGAAAGTTAATAACTTAGTTTGTTTTTTATGTTATTAGTTGTTTTGTTTTTTACTTGTATTTGTAATATACAATCTATTTGGTTTAATATTATTTATTTGGAAACAAGTTTACAACTGATATGAAAAATAATGTTACATAAAATTATTTAGAAATAATGCTAATTTTACTAAGATATCATAATTAAAAAAAAATTTGATAATAAAAAAAAGATTTTCTGCCTAAACTCTTCTACAGCTTGTGGTTCAGACTTTACAGACCAGACCTTTACAGTCTTGCAGAAGTGTTCTCTGGAGCTGTCGTCTATACTTTCAAAACTGGAAAGCGGTATCTGTTATCCCTATTTTCAAAAATTCTGGAGAGCTATCTGACTCTTCTAACTACCGTCCCAATAGTCTTCTTCCTATCATAAGCAAGGTTTTTGAGTCTTTAATTAACAAACACTTTATCTCTCATCTTTTATCTATAAATTTACGTTCTGATTACCAATATGGATTTCAATCCTCTTGCTCTACAGCTGATTTGCTAACAGTAATAAGTGATAGATTTTATCATGCATAAGATAAAGGTGAAGAAGTTAAGGCAATTGCTCATGATGTTTCTAAAGTTTTAGATAAAGTTTGACATACTGGTCTTCTCTTTTAGCTTTCTTCTTATGGTAAGATAAGATCTATAAGATTATTGAATCCTTCTATACCAATCGTAATATAGAAGTTGTCCTCAACAAACAGCACTCTTCTTAATATCCTTTTTCTTCGGGGGCTCCTCAAGGTTCTACTATTTTTAATTTACATTGATGCTTTTCCAGATATTCTCACATCTTAGGTAGCATTGTTGGCTGATAATATTACCATTGATGATGCTATTTTTGTCTTGATAAGAAGCCAACACTCTCTGATTGCTTGGTGGGGGCATTTGAGATTAAAAAGGATCTCACTTCTACTACAGCATGGGGTTCACAGTGGCTGAACTTTAATTCAGGTAAAACCTAATTTTTTTTCAGCAAATTGTTATTGCAATAATCTAGATCGTCCTTTATTTATGAATGTAAATGTTCTTGATGAGTCATCTACCCTTACTCTTCTAGGATTAACTCTTACTTTTGATCTTTCTTGGAAATCATATATCAAATCAGTAGCAAAATTAGCATCTACTAAGGTTGCATCTCTTTATTGTGCTCAATACTTTCTTACTCCAGATTCTATTTTTTATCTCTATAAATCTCAAATCCATCATTGTATGGAATACTATTGCCATATCTGGAGCGAATCTTCCAATGATCCCCTTTCTCTTTGACAAGGTGCAAAAAAGGCGCTGTAAACATTGTTGGACTTGCTGTTGCAGCTAATCTGCAACAATTAAAACATCATAATAATGTTACTCCTCTTTTTTTTTCTACAAATAATATAAAGGACACTGCTCTAAAGTGCAAGTGTCTTTTGTGCCATCTACTAAAATTCATTTTTGTCTTTCTTGTCATTTAAATAAGTCTTATTCTTTTACTGTGACTGTTCCTAAATGCTCCAAAAACTCTTATTCACCTAGTTTTTTTTCTTGAACATCAGTTCTTTGGAATTCCCTTCCTTCATCTTGCTTTCCTGATTCATATAATTTGCAATCGTTCATGTTGTCTGTCAATCATTATCTATATATCTATAAACTTCATCTAGTGATTGCTTATAGCATTGTTGGAAGCAAAAATGTTTAAAAAAAAATTCTATTTATTATATGATGTGATATAAAGTGTAAATTAAAAACAAAATAAGCACAAAATGCATATGTATTTAGATTTTTTAAAAAAAAATTCCTTTTTTAAAAAAAAATCGTTATGGAGCAATAAATCAATCAAGGTATTAATTTAGCAATATGAATTCGAATTTAGCATATTTAAGCACATGACTGTTTTAAGATAATTTATTTGATATAAACATTAATTATTTTAAAGATCATGATTGATCATGATCTTTAAGGTAATTACAGGGGTGGGACCGCAAAATGTGAACACTTTTCTGATTGTAATAATTAATTTTCTGTTAAATATGAACTATTTTAAATAAGAATGTCCAATGGTTGGACATTCTTGTTTAAAATAGTTCATATTTAACAACTCTTTAGACACTTTCTGATGAGTGAGAGAGTACAACTACATCTAACGAGAAAATAGTTATAATAAAACAAAAACGTTCACATTTTGCGGTCCCACCCCTGTAGAGTTAGAGTGTCTATATACCAGAAAAAAGTTAACTGTTTTTGTTTGCTGTTTAACAATGTTCTCAGGGGCATTCAATCTTGAATCTACTAAAGTAAAGGGCTTTAAACAAATAAATGTGATTTGGATGTCAGAGAATCCTCTAGAACAATAGCCTGATGTAGCTAATTTGAGTCTAAATGTATCGTTGTTGTAATACCTATATCAGCAAGCTCCATTTTGGTTCACTGTTTTGAATATAGAAAATGATATGTGCCCAAACCTACATTTAAGACTTTTTTAGGTATTATAATAATCAATCAATTGTCATACAAACCATAAACTTCAATAAAATCAGCCCAATTTTTTTAATTTTTATTTCAAGGCTTAAGAAGTATATTTGAACAATAAAAACAGAATATACTTTGACAAAATATTTATAAAGCATTATTATTTTATAAAGAATATTAAATGGGCTTAGTTCAATTAGGTGTATTTTTATAAAAGTTTATCTTTGTTTTTATTACACTTACCTTAACTTCTTTAGTTAAAAAACGCTATATTAAGTAAATATCTATGACAATTAGATGATTTATTTGGAAACTTCAATTTCATCAAGTTTTAGCATAAATTATAAATGTATATATGATAAGATACTGATAAATACAATAAATACAGTTTTTAGCAACACGTATTTTAAGAAGTGAATTTATAGATCCAGAATAATATGATTTTAGCAAAGAATGGGTTTTCAAATGGCTAGTAATAGTCAATTCAATTTGAATTCAATTGTGTAATATTTTATAGTTAAAAAAGAATTTATCAGAACTTTGTCATCATATTTAACTAGTCTGGATAAATGGTTATCAACTATAAGTTTTTAAAAATATCTTGAATATTTTGGGTGACCTGTCAGAGAGAGAATTAAACAAAGTGATCTCTCAAAATTATGTAACATTGTTATACTATTGTTGTAGCTGCTATCAAAGATAGCAAGAAACAAATCTCTATAAATTATTGCCGAACTTAGTAGTTTTGTTAATAATAGTTTAATGTTGTATCCTTTGGAGCATATTTGACACGAAACCCTTGGCAGCCATTGCAAGCAGGTTTTGGCGAGAAAGAGTCTCACCTTTGCTTTATAAGAAAACGTGAGCAAATGTGAAACTTATATTGTACGTACATAAATTTCATGTTATCTAATATTAAAACATACTTAAACATATATTAAGTTTTACAGTTTGACTTTCACTTAAAAACTGCATTGCATCAACTTCTTAATTTCTGATCTTCAACATCTATATCCCTTAAAAACAATTTTTATATAACTTTAAAGTTTCAATAAACAACAAGCCTGCATGCCTGAGTGGTTAGTGCACTGAGCTTCTAAACAAGAAAACTGTGGTTCAAGTCCAATGACTGGCAATATTTTTTTTTTAAATCTTTTAGAATTTTTAAAAAATAAATATCAAGTTTTACAGTTTGTCTTTCACTTAAAAACTGCATTGCATAAACCTCTTCTTAATTTTTGATTTTCAGTATTTATTTTCTTTAAAAAAAAATTTTATATAGTTTTAAAATTTTAATGACCAATGTGCCAGCATGGCTGAGTGGTTAGCGCGCTTAGCTTTTAACCATCGGCAACTTTTTCTTTTAATTTTTAAAAATTTTTAAAATACATGTGAAGTTTTATAAAGATTTTATACAAACATATCTAACGATGTTATACACTTTAATAAATGAAAAGATTTTTAAAAAGCTAAAAATTCTAAAAACATTTAAAAATGGAAGGATATTTGTTTCGTATGTGTCACGGTTGAGATACTTATGTTATTTTAGTTTTTTACATTTCAAGTTTTTTTACAACTAAGTTAAGTTTGTGCATGAAAAATGAGGATACAATATCTTTATATATAGAACATAAAGTCTATAGAACTGTAAAATTGTTTTGTTTTGCATTTTAAATAACAAAAATTAAAAAATAAAGCAAGCTGATGATTTTAACTTGCCAAGCAGTTAACTTAACTTTTTCAAAACAGTAAAGGGGTTTAAAAAGTATTTTTTTTTATAAAAACATAATTAAAAATTCTAATTTTATATTTAAACTAAACCATTTTATTAAACTATTCATTTTTAAAAATAATTTAAAGTTAAAGTTATTTAATATTATTACAATAACAAAATTTAGAGTTAAAAAGGTATTTTACCACACCCCCGTTAAACATTTAAAACCAAGTGCGCAACAACAACATAATTTAGATAACCATCAAAAAGTATTATACTCCATTGTTATTTGGTTTTATATTCTTTTTGGTTGATCCTTTATCTATACTTTAAA